TATTAAAAAGCAGAGACATTACTTTGCCAACAAAGGTTCATCTAGTCAAAGCTATTGTTTTTCCAGTAGTCATGTATGGATGTGAAAGTTGGACTATAAAGAAAACTGAGTGCTGAAAAATTGATGCTTTTGAACTGTGTTGTTGGAGAAGACCCTTGGACTGCAAGGAGACCCAACCAGTCCATCCTAAAGGAAATCAGTCCTGAATATTCATTGGAAGGACTAATGCTGAAGTTGAAACTCCAATACTTTGGCCACAGGATGGGAAGAACTGACTCATTTGAAAAGACCCTGATGCTGAGCAAGATTGAAGGCAGGAGGAGAAGGGGACAACAGAGGCTGAGATGGCTGGATGGCATCACTGACTCGATGGACATGAGTTTGAGCAGACGCTGAGAGTTGGTGATGGACAGGGAAGCCTGGCATGCTGCAGTCCACGGGGTCGCAAAGAGTCAGACACGACTGACTGAACTGAACTGAACTGAACTGTCACTCCATAAGTCCTGTTTTTATGAACTGTCTGCCGGTGTGCCCCCAATAGTCATATGTTGAAACCATAAACCCCAATGTGGTGGTGTTGGGTATGGGACCTTTGGGAGATAATTAGGGGTAGATGAGGTTATGAGGGGCGTTCACTAATCATGATGAGATGATTATAAAAAGAGAGAGCTCACTCTCCCTTTCTGTATAAGCACAGAGGAAAGGTCAGTGAGAGGGTAGCCATCTATAAAGCAGAGAACTCTCACCAGGCATTGAACTGACCAGCACCTTAATCTCGAACTTCTTAGCTTCCAGAAGAGTGAGAAAATAAACTTCTGTTGTTTAAGCCACCCAGTCTGTGGTAGTTTATTGTGGTAGCCCTAGCAGACTGAAATATCTGTTTATCTCTCTCCATACAAAAGTTACCAATTTTACTTTCTTTGTTTAGTTTTACCTGTTTTTGAGCTGTATATTAATGGAATTATTCTATCTACCTACCTAATGACTTGTTTTTTAACGTCAACATTATATTTGTAAGATCCATCCATATTGAGTATATATTTGTGGTTCTTTTGTTTTAATGCTATATGGTATTTTCTAGTACCAACATGTTACTATTTATTCTTCCATTTTATGAGATGGGAGTCTTGGTTGCTGGTAAGAACATTCCTAGGCATGTATCCTGATATACATTAGAACACATATCTCAAAGATATATACCTTGGCCTGGAATTTTCTGGCCATCTGGTATGCATGTCTTCAGCATTATTAGATAATAGCACAGGTTCCCAGAGTGGTTGCACTGACTTACATTCCCACCAGCAGTGAATAAGAATTCCATTTTTCTATACTTTCATTAACACTTGGTTTGTCAGACTTTTAAATTTGCCAGAATAATGGGTATATTGTGCTATCTTGTAGTTTTAATTTGCATTGCCCTAACCTATTTAATGAAATTGAGCACCTTTTTATATTTATTGGACATTTAGATTTCTTCTTTTGTAAAATGTCTTTTCAGACCTTTTGCCCACTGAGAAAAACTGGGTCATCTGCCTTCTTCTCACTGATTTGTGGTTCTTCATACAGTTAATCAGCTATATACTTTGCAGATACCTCTTCCCATTCTATGGCTTCTTTTTTCACTCTTAATGCTGTTTCTTGATGAGTAGAAGTTCTTAATCTAATGTGATCCATCATATCCAGTATTCTTTTATGGTTAATGCTTTTTGTGTAGTGTTTAAGAAACCCTTTCCTTATTCAAGATCTTACATTTTCCACCCTACATTCTATTCTAAAGCTTTTGTAGGCTTATCTTTCACACTTACTACCTGGGGATGATGTTTTTCAAATCCTTATTTGTTTACTTGGCTGCGTCGGGTCTTACTTTCGGTGCACGGGATCGTCTTTGTGTCATGCAGGGTCTTTTGCTGAGGCTCACAGACTCACTGGTTGTGGCTTGTCAGCTTACTTGCTCTGCAGCATGTGGCATCTCAGTTCCCCAGCCAGGGATTGAACCCGTGTCCCTGCATTGCAAGGCAGAGTCTTACCCCCTGGACCACGAGGAAAGTCCCTGGGAATGATTTTTGAAAATGTGAGAGGAAGGGTTGAATTTCCTTTATTTCTCCATGTGGAAATCCAGTTGTCCCACATTTTTCACTATTGCTCTGATGAGACACCTCTGTCATAAATCACGCAACTATATATGAATAGGTATGTTGAACTACAAAATTCTAAAATCAGATGCCTAACTGTCATGATATTGACTTTGTGAAGGGAAATATGATGGACATAATGTGATTTCCTTGCAGTCAAAGTGTGGAGTCCTAACCACTGGGTATCCAGGGAATTCCCCAATTTTTTTTTAAAAATTTATTTGTTTTTTTCCAAATGTATTTTAGACTTAACCAGACTCTCAACTCACAGTCTCTATCTCCAGAAATACTTACTAGCTGGTGATGCTTGTGTGTTTTTTTACCTTTGAGCCCATGTTTTTCTTGCATGGTTATTATAAGGAGTAGGCATAATTTGTGACACCTAATCGTAGTTAGTGATTTATCATCAGTACATATTTCACATGTAAGCACTTGCCCTGTTTGTAGCTTAGGGGCTTGGAGTTCTGTAGTTGTGTTAATTTTTTATGGCTGTGTAACAAGTAGCCATACACTCAGTGCCCTATAACAGCACCCATTTCTGACCTCGCAGTTCTGGAGGTCAGAAGTCTGGGTGGGTTCTCTGCTTAGAGACTCACAAGGCTGAAATGATTGGAGGCTCTGGGGAGATCTGCCTCCAAGTTCACTTAGGTTGGTGGCTGAACTCAACTCCTTGCAGTTGTAGGACTGAGGTCCTTCTTCCAAGCTGGCTGTCAGCCAGGGGTTACTCTTAGTTCCTGGGGGCTGCCCTAAGTCCCTTTCCACCTAGCCTTCTCCATCTTTAAGTTAGCAACAGTCAAATCCTCCTAATGCTTTGAATATGACTTTCTTTCCTGCAGAAAATGAAAATGGAAGTGAAAGTTGCTCACTTATGTCCAACTCTTTGTGACCCCATGGACTATACAGTCCATGGAATTCTCCAGGCCAGAGTACGAAGTGGGTAGCCTTTCCCTTCTCCAGGGGATCTTCCCAACCCAGGGATCGAACCCAGATATCCCACATTGCAGGAGGATTCTTTACCATCAGAGTCACCAGGAAAGCCCAGGAATAGTGGAGGGGGTAGCCTATCCCTTCTCCAGCGGATCTTTCCAACCCAGGAATGAAGTGGGGTCTCCTGCATTGCAGGTGGATTCTTTACTAACTAAACTATCAGGGAAGCCTGGAGAAAACACTCTGCCTTTAAAGAAGTCATGGAAATTGTGAATTGAGATTAGAATTTTGTAGTCCAGTTACATGATTAGCAACAATATGAAAATTTATTTTAAAAATAGCTTTAAAAAAGTAGTCCAAGAGATAGATCATGATGTGTGTATGTACACGTGCATGAGTGTGTGCAAGGAATATTTTGTGAAAGAAGTAGAGCTGGGATTGAACCTTGAGAAATATGGTGGTTTGGATGAGTGGGAGGATAACTCAGTCTAGGTAGTGAAAACTGAACAGTGGTGCACTTTGGGATGGGAGCAGACATTCCGGTTTGGAATCAAGAGGTGAGTGGCAGGTTGTAGCCTCACAGAAGCTTTGCAATGTCAGATAAGGTAAGGAAATGTTGGACTCAGTTATCTCAAGGAACCAAAAGTTTATTAAAGTGAAATACTTTGAACTCTCTGGAATAAAGGTGATATTGATGCATGACTTTCTTAATATACTAGGAAAGTTTGCTCAAGAAACTTCTTTTAGTTGTTTAGCTTCTTTTCATAGATGCCACCTTGGGTCCTTAGGAGAAAGAGTACCACATGCACAGTAACACACACACAGCAAGTCACAATAAAATAAGTCTCCTTTATTCTGTACTCAGTGAACGAGCTATAGTCTGAGAGAATGTTGAGTTTTACTTTGTAGCCATTGGACTTGCTAGAGTCCCCTCCCACGTTGGAGTTAAATATCCCTGCAGCTTCCTTTCCCCCCTCAAAGTCAGGAACTATGGCTACTGTGCAAAGGCCTACCATCTAGCAAAGTGATTGGTAAGCAAATCAGAGAAGATGTCCTGTGACAGCATCAGGTGGACCTGTGGGAATGGTGGGTGAAATATACACAGTGTGCTAATGATGGAAAGACAACCCTAAGCAAGAGCCTACCAAAGGCAAAATGATCTGGAGCATGATAGCCTTGCTAGGAATAAACATTTTACAAGGGCACACAGCAATGGGAAGGGGAGGCAACGAGGATGATACACACACAAGTGGCGATCTAATGACCAGAGCGCTGAGAGGGAATCCTACTTCAGGAATGGCCTGTAGTGTTCTGGTAAATATTCTGTGTGGCTCTGCCCTTCAGGTTCTGCTTGCATGACAGAAGCTTGGCTGTGGCCACTGTCCTTGGGGGTGGAGGAGGATTTTCCCCCAGATACAATATTCTGCCAAGCTGAGGGAGCACAATGTTATTAACAGTTGTTAAGGAAATTCTTAGTTAAGGACCAATGAGAGGAAGCCATAAAATGAGATATTTGATTGGACCAGATGCTTACTAGACACCTGCCAGTTTCCAATCCTACTGGGAGGACTTATGGCATTTTTGAAGGAGGGAAAATGCAAACTGAGCCCTGAGGTCAACTCTTCCACATTCATCTGTCATCTTCTCAACTTACTCTTCCTGTGGGACACTTGGAATAAGGATGCTGACCTTGATGGCCTGTCTCCCCCTGTTCCCCAGTAGGTCAGCTAGTGGGTGGCGGGGTCTCTGGCAGAGAAATGTGCACAGAACAGCTGAGGGACTTCCCAAGAGGTGTTCTGACATAAATCAGTATCTGAGAGGCAAGGACCTAGGCATTGAACTTTATGTGTTTCCTGAAGATGGACATTTTGCTTGCATTGTCTGGTGCCCCCCAAGCTGGTTATGGGCAACTCTCAGGCTCTAGGAACCACTCTGTGAGGCTCACTCAGAGTCTACCATGTTGTCCAAGGCATGCTGGGAGCGCCTCTGATTCCTGGACAACACACACAAGTACACGAGATACGTCAGACACAGCAAGGCCACTGCTGCAAAGAAGGCGAGGGTGCCCACGAAGGCAGATGGCTCGATGGGCAGGCGGATGAGGGGGCTTTCGGCTGGGATCTGGTTGGTCAGGCTGAGCATGTAGCCGAGAGACCAGGCTATGCTGCTATTCCCCACCTGAGGAGTAGAGGAGACGGCTCAGTTCTCAGGACTGGGCTTGAGGCACAGATTATATCCCCAGGACACACCATGGTCACCCTCCTGAGACACCCCCAGGAACTGTGGCCTGAGGAGGTCAAAGGACTTGCCTAAGTTCAGAAACTGCAGAGACTGGGCTAGAACCCTGGTCATCATGACCACAAAGGCTCTAGTGTCCAGCCTCTCACACTGCAGAGAACTAATCCTCACAGCCTTGTCACAGCCAGTGTGAAGAGGGCACAGTTAACAACAGTGGAAGTTTTTCTGTCACTGGGTACAGAAGTGTCTCTAGCTAAAAAAGAGGTGATGCATGTTTTACTGAACCCAGGACCAGTTTCTAAGGAAAGAAGGTCAGTCTAAGTGGGAAGCAGACTGTGTCAGTTTCATCTGGTGGCTCCATCAGTTTTTGTTGGCATGTTTTTAGGCCATTTTGGTAGATGTATGAATGTTTCACACTTGTAACCTTCCATCCTCTCTCTCTCGCTGTGCCGTCTTCTCTTGTTGCGGAGCGCAGACTCGAAGGTGCACAGCCTCAGTGGTTGTGGCGCACGGACTTAGCTGCCCCCTGGCGTGGGGAATCTTCCCAGACCAGGGGCTGAGCCCGTGTCCCCTGCGCTGGCAGGTGGGTTCTCAGCTACTGAGCCACCAGGGAAACCCCCCAAATATTTTGGATATCAATCTTTGTTTGGCAAATCTCCTGAAGTCTTTTTACATCCTCACATTTGAATACTGATTTGACTGATATTAAATTCTTTATAAATAAAAGAAAGGAACTTGAAACCTAGAATTATGTATTCCCCCCCAACCCCGAATTGGTATTTAATGGAAAATCATAATGTGCTTTCCTGGTAATTAGATTAGTTAGAAACAAAGCTTGGAGCGGACATGCCACCAGCAGTCCTTATCTGTCTCCAGACAGCCTTATTTTTTTACAGCCGACTCAATTTTATCCATGTAAAACAGTCACAAGCCTAATACTGGATATTGCTTGCTGTAATTTAATTACTGCTGAAGCTCATATTGAACAGACTGACTCCAGACATACTTCAGGCTTTACATCTGCTATTCCTGAAATGAGAAAACCCTCCAAGAAGCCAGGGAACAGAGTGCTGGATCAATGTAACAGCAAGGCTGAGTCCTGGAAGCAAAGTACAGAGGCGCCTCACCAGTCAGCTGTCACTCCAGCGTCAGACCATTCTGGACACTTGAAAGTGAATACGGTGACCTCAGACTCATTCCAAGATCAAATTCTTATTTAACGCTGCTTACTTAATCCCTGTGCTCTAAAGAATAAATCTCCTTCTGACATCTGTGTAAAATGGAGATCAGTTAGTTACTATTCTCTTAACAAAATTGTTGTATCTGAAGCTTCTTGTCAGGATTAAAAGTCTCAGTTCCTTAACATATTTATGGATTCACTCAACAATATTTACTAAGAGCCTCCTATGTTCTCAGTCTTGTGTGAGTGCTAGCAATATGAGGATGATAAAGCAAGTCCTGCCCCGACAGAGCTTAGAGTCCACAGTTCTTGGCTTCCTTAGCTCACATAGAAGGTTTCTGATGACCACTTCCTCTAAATTCTCCATTATCTCTTCTCATAAGCTCACCAGGGATCAAGCCTCATTGGCTCCCATTCAGCAAGTTTAAATCCCCAATTCCCACTTATCTCCTACATTTCTTTCACACACAAACAAACATCTATTTTGAGAGGAAGAAGAGGAAAACAATTTGTACTTTGACTTACTTCCTTTTTAAAATGTATTTGGGGCCAGCTCTCCTCGGTGAATTTGTATCCACTTACAAGCAAATGGTAGATATAGTGGGCCGAGAAGCAGTAGGAGCGTGCATACTGCTCATCAAACCGGGGCAGCAGCAGTGGGAGCTGAAGACAAGTTCAAAACAGGGAGGAGGCAGGTTTTAAAATGCGCATTTCAGAACAGCTTAGGTCAGCAGTCATATTTTAAAGAATCTTATCACCCAGAGAATTTAATCATTAAAATTACTATAAAATAACACAATGACAAAAAATCCATATTTTATGTTCATTTGTTTCATTAGATTCCACATATACGTGATAAAATACAGTATCTGTCTTCCTCCGTCTGACTTACTTCACTAAGCATAATACCCTCCAGGTCCACTCATGTTGCTGCAAATGGCACAATTTCATTCTTAATGGCTGAGTGATATTCCATTGTATATATACACCACATCTCCTATATTTAAAAAAAAATCCCTTTACAACATAACCGACTGGTAAACAACCCGCCTGCCAATGCAGGAGACGTAACAGATGCAGGTTCAATCCCTGGCTTGGGAAGATCCCCTGGAGAAGGAAATGGCAACCCACTCTAGTATTCTTGCCTGGAGAATTCCATGGACAGAGGAGCCTGGTGGGCTACAGTTCATAGGGTCACAAAGAGTTGGACTGAAGCGACTTAAAATGCATACAATATCATGGAAGAGCAATCTTAAGTTTATAGAGTGCTTGTTACATGCCAGACACTGTTATAAACATTGTGCCCATGAATAGAACATTTAATCCACAACATAGCTATGAGGTCGGGCTCCTTATTACCCCCATCTTACAGATGTGGTGAAGGAGAACAGGATAAAAGTCAAATTTAGAACATACATACACACACATACACACACATGCACACACACAGGCGCAAATGAAATCTACCCTGCTCTACTGTTTTGTACCAATATGGATCCTTTTTCTTTAAATACTGACCTGATTCCAATTCTTTGAGCAGAAATTCCAGGTGCTCAAGTTGAAGGTGTGCAGAGAAAAGCTACCCGAAAGGTTGAAAGCATTGGCTGTGTAGTAGAATCCTGCAAAAGCCTGTAAGGAAGTTGTACAGAATGCAATATAATGGAGGTTTCAGGGCAGGGAAAAAGAAAGTGGGAAACACCTCAGCAAAGGAAAAACAGGAAGGTGAGAAATAATCAGTAGGGGGAAAAGGAATCTCTGTTGTTTTGCTCTTACCACAAATGACCCTTTAACTCTTGGCTGATACACCCCATCAAAGGAACAAGCTTCGTGATCACGGCAAGCGCTGAAGTTAAATAGGAAAGCCACCTTTTCCCTACACAGTGATGGGTCCCCAGTTCCTTCAAAAGTGATGATGTTGTTGGGATTATATCTTTCAGGTCTCAGGTCCTCTGTACACAGGCTGCCAAACACCTGTGCCTCAGTGAAGGTGGTGGTGTAATTCTGAGGGTAACAAGGGTTGGTGAACGTGGTTTCAGTGGTATAATCCTATAGGTATAAGAGTAAGGTGTTAGAAATCACTCTTGTGGAGGTCCAAATACTTTCCTTTTGCAAGTCCTCATTGTTGTTCCCCTCCAATGCCAAGAGAGAAATGGAAAAAAGGCCATTATACGTCCAGTGGAAGGGAAGTCCCAGGTTGTCTAGATAACTCTACTTGGGGTGGGGGGGATTGTCACCCTGCCCCAGGCACAATACCAGGCTCTGCTCCAGCACTTAGCACAGCTCCATGAAGCAGGTTTTATGAACTCCATTTTGATGAGAAAGCAAGATATGTTTAGGTTAATTGACCATTTTGAAGAGCATGTTATCTATCCATCTAAAAATAACAATTAAAAAGGTACAAATAAATGTATTATCAAAATTAAGGCTCATTCCTACCCACTTTATCCACCCAGGTTCCCTCCCTGGAAGTAACCACTATTGCCAGTTGTAGTGTATTCTAACAGAGATTCTGTGTATACTTCTTCTAGGCATGTGCAATTACATTTTCTTTTCCCCTCTTTTTCTTTCTTTAAATTTTAAATCATAAATGGTAGTGCTCTATACACACTGTTCTGTCCCGTGCATCTCTTACTTAAGAATATATCTTTGAGATTTTCCTTTCATTGTCCATGTAAGAGTGAAGTAAAGTGAAGTCACTCAGTCGTGTCCGACTCTTTGTGACCCCATGGACTGTAGCCCACCAGGCTCCTCCGTCCATGGGATTCTCCAGGCAAGGATACTGGAGTGGATTGCCATTTTCCTCTCCAGGGCATCTTCCCGACCCAGGGATCGAACCCAGGTCTCCCGCATTGCAAGCAGACGCTTTAACCTCTGAACCACCAGGGAAGCCCCTGGTGTAAGAGTGACCTCTTCTTTTTATACTAGCTTCTTTCATGCTAGCTACATAGAACTCCACTGTACAAATAAACTGTACTTTATTTAGGGAATCCCATCTAGAGGAAAATTGAGCTGGTTTCCAGTCACGTGCCATTACAAAACAATGATGTAATAAATACCCTGTTACATAGAAATATTTGATCTGTTTGTAATTTATTTGGTATTAAGATTGTGGTAGGGATTTGATTTTACTTTCTCCAGATTATTATCCAGTCTTCTATCTATGGTGAAAAATGTTCCCTTTATTTAATGCTAAATTCCAAAATGTGTTTGGTTCAATTTATGGGCTCTCTTTCCCAAGGAATTGGATTTGAACTCTCTGTAATTTCAAAGCTATTTTATCCTCTATAGTAAAATCTTGGCCCAGAAAACACTTAGCTCAGCTCTCTCACTTTACTGCTGAGGAACCTGAGGTACACATCAAAATAATGTAATCATTTAATGAAAGGCTGTCATAGGATTCTAGGCAGAATCCTACAGAAGTCCAACACTCATCTGATATAACATATGAGTGTCCTACAGAAAGATCTTAATATGACTGTGGAGGCAGCAAATGGGCCCCTTCTGCTTCAGTGGCGTGAAGAAGTCTATGGTGTTCAAAAGCTGTTATGTCTGATTTGTAACATAGCACATCACGGTCACCCTATGGCTGAAATAATCATTGAAAGAAAAAGAAGTCAAATAAACAATTAATCATTTAGTTTCCCCCTCCAAATCTGACTTACACTTTTAAATAATTAAAATAAATCATTTCTGGCCTGGCTTGGAGAAGAAGCAAAATAATATAAATTATTTTTTGGCTAGAAGAAGCTTGGTAAAGATTAATTCATTTCTCTTTTTGGATCATGAATTATTTGTTATAGCATTGCTGAAATATAACTTGCCAATGTGCCAAGTTACTTAGTCCCTCACCATTTAATAAATCTTCCCTGAATTTAGTCTTTGCAGGGCATTAGCATGAAAGGGCCATGTACTCTCCTTTGTAGCTACATGACCAACATAGCTTTTCTTTTTAAATAATGTATTTGGAATACTGCCTGCGCTTGTGTTCAGTCGTGTTCGACCCTTTGCAGCCCCCATGGACTGTAGCTGGCCTGGCTCCTCCACCCATGGGATTTTCCAGGCAAGAATACTGGAGTGAGTTGTCATTTCCTCCTCCAGGGGATCTTCCCAACCCAGAGATCTAACCTGTGTCTCTTATGTCTCTTGCATTGGCAGGCGGGTTCTTTACCACTAGCATCACTTGGCAAGCCCATATATATACCATATGAAGCCAAATTTGTAAATACACATATTCTTGCATTTAAAAAAAAAACTGGAAGAAAATGCAGTAATATGTTGATGATGGGTAATTCCAAGTTTTGTTGTTTATTATTTATATTCTTTATGTCTGTATTTTCTATTTTTTTCCCCACTGAATATGTGTTACTTTAAAACCAGAAGAAAAAAGTCTTACTTAACAAGGGAGAGAAAGTGAATGCATGTCCCTAATATCTAACATGCTATCAGAGTGAGACTTGAGCCTTAGGGTCGCTGGAGACCCCTTATTAAGAAAATAATTTGCAAAGTATATATTGGTAGCTCAGATGGTAAAGAATCCGCCTGCAATGCATGAGACCTGAGTTCGATCTCTGGATCAGAAAGACCCCCTGGAGTAGGAAATGGCAACCCACTCCAATATTCTTGCCTGGAGAATTCCATGGACAGAAGAGCCTGGCAGGCTACAGTCCATGGGGTTGCAAAGAGTTGGACATGACTAATTAACACTTGGACTTTTTCATATATCTAGGTGTCACTCTCACCACACTCTGTAGCCCTTTATATTCAGTCCAGGAACTGAGACCTGGACTGGAGGCAATTACTCAGGCAGCGTTCATGATGCAATAAGCTTTGGGAACCTTTAAGTTGGGGCTTGGCAACACATCTTTGGAACATGAAAGTATTGGCTAGGCAGGTGGGGACATGCATTTGTGGGTGATCCTCATCGCACCTGGATCCTTCCCCACACATGAGTCAGAAGGCTTAGAGGGCAAAGCCACTCTCTCAGGCATCCACATGTTATCAGGCAAGTTGGAGATGCCCCCTGTCCCTGTGAGTTGACTACATACAATGAGAGGCAGGGGTGTCCCACCTCTGCCCCCAGACCTGGGCCCACACCTTGAGACCTGCATTCTCAAGTTCAAATGAGACCTCACCCAGGTGGTGTATTCACTTCTCTACTGTAGACTGTTGGGTACATAGACAGTCATTCTTTAATAAATCTTGTAGGAGTGTGTGCACAAATATACATATACACCCCCTCATGGCCAGCCAAATTTAATAGGTTAGCTTCTCAAACCTAGATTCACCCTGGGAAAAGGGTGATTTCTCCTGCCTCCCTTCTCCCATCTGAAGTTCAGAGGAGCCCTGCCCTCCCTGGCCTACCCTGCACCCCTTCTAGGGCCAGAGCTGGAGGAAGGGGCCTTAAGTATTGATAGAAATAAAAAGGGAGAGACAAGAGGAGCCCAGTTAGAGAGGGTTGACTAAGCTCCCTGCGGGGTTTGGTTTGGCCGAGTTGGGGGTTGTATTTGGGAGTCTGGCCTGGGCACCGAGTCTCCTGAGCCATGGAGAAGTAGCTCAGGGCTGCCGGCAGGGCCCCCGCTCTGTCTTTCCCAGGAGCGCCCAGCCTCTCCCCAAAATACATGTGGCATACATGTGTGCTGGGGCTCCAGCCTTTCCTGTGAGGCTGAAAGAGAAGTTTAGGGAAGAGGGCCAGACCTGGAGGGTGAATTCTCACAATCCACTCTGCATGAATACTCAGTAAATGCAGGGATCTGAAGATGTGAGTTCTACTGATGCCTCTTTGTAAACCAACCCAATTTTTCTACAGCTAGTGGCTGGGAAATACTGCATCCTTCCTCATGACCAGAGTAAGCTGCAGTGGTGGGGGTTAACCTACTGATGCTGTGTCCACTACATTTAGAGGCTGACTCAGCCCCTGTGCCCTGCCCCGGGTCCCCTTAGAAGTCAGGATCTGTGGCCTCCGGTTGGCATCATGCCCCTCCAGGTGATCAAGGTTCACTGCCTTCATTCTCCTTTCATCTTCACCTTCCCTTTTCAGCCATGGCCGAGATGGACGTCCCCTGAGCACTGGAGTTTGGGGCCCAGGGTCACATCCATGGTGTGAGTGCTCTCGCTGCCACCAACGGTACTCATGTCAACTTTACGTTAGTGGCAGCCTAACTGATGTCTGAAGTGGCCATCATATTCAGTTACCATATAAATTACTGGCCAATGTGATGGAATTCGGCTGCTCTAAGATCCCACCATCTAAAGCGATTAAATCTGCCTAATACAGGCTCATCTAAAATAAGCCTGAGCCTGAGGAGGTCCTCTGCCCTCTGTGTTGTCAGCAAGAATTTCTCCTGTGACCAAGTATATTATTTTGTCTGCACTCAGGGGAGTCTCTGCAATGTCCAGCTTCTTTAGCTACTAGTTTAAAGCAGTTAATATCCATAAAGGGATCCCAAGTCCTGAATCATTTATAAAACCTCTGGGGCTCTGGAATTTCCCTGGACTTCCGACTCAAATACACTGGAAGTAGTCAATGTATCAGAGAGAGAGAGAGAGAAAGAGAACGCTCGGACCCCTACAAGTTAACAAGAAAATGCTGCTGTTTCCATCCACCTTCTAATTGGAGTGGAAAGGACAGACCCCAGAAGGCAAGGCATCTTCCCCTCAGCCAAGACCCCCGAGGGAACACCTGTTGCCCCCTGCCTCAGGTACCTGAATGAGGGTTGCCAGAAACCTCTTCTCAGCCTCGTTTTGGCCATAGCACTGGAAGCTGTGTGTGTAGAGCGTGTATTCATAGCCATACAAGGTCACCTTCATGATGTCGCTGGTGTTCAGCCCCACCTCTTCTGCCGCGAAGGATATCTGGGTGGAGGCACCACCCAAATCCAGGGCACCTGTGGTCTCCTTTCCACTCGGATGCACCCACATATGCCACAGGCTCTTCTACACAGTTGGAAAAAGAAGCAAGAAAAAAGATCAAAGGTGCCATCTCTGACTGGCCAGGGTTCATCTCCCAGGATCCATCTCTTATTGCTAAGAAGTAAGACATAGGGTGCATTCAGGGCCAAATCTCTCCTTAGTTTCACGGGTGGTGAACTCAAATGCTTTCAGGGACTGGACAGGCAACATAAATGAGTGAGTAGATTAGGTGTACACAACAGGGAATGGTGAGAGGACTGTGGCCATCTGGGGAATGCATGAGTTATATACTCTGTTCCAGTTGGTTGTCGGCATGCAGGAATGTGAGTCTACTGTGACCAGCTCTGCCAACTTTTGGGGAGTGAGGGAGTCCAGAAGAAGCTAGAATTGTGGATTTCTACGTGAGTTTTCCAAAATATTAACTAAATTAATTAACTAAAAATATATTCAAGGAGGAAGAAAACAGGTCTTAGGCTGGACATGGTAGGGGTATCCTCAGTTTACACCCTCTGTGACCTGGTGACTATCTTTCAGAGGCAGCTTTCCTCTGCACCAAAGGAGCAGGGAGTGTGCAGCCTGGAGTGTGAGGAGACCTGAGGACACCAGTGAGTGAGAAGAGGCGGCCTGAGGGCTCTGTAAATTCCTGACGGCTACAGGACTTCTTGGAAGGGTCCTTCTCTAGTTGGATTTCAAAAGACTCATGGCCCACTGCAAGATTTAGATCCTCCCTCCCCCCCTCAAATTTCTTGTTAGTTGGTAAAATGATATCCTCCCCACCCCCACCGCATGCATTTGTCTTATTTAGGATCCAAGGCTTTTTCCCAGCTATACATGTCTTGTCTTATCACTGGTGTTTCCCTAATGCATTACATGATAGAACTGATGCAGGACAGATGGCCCTGTCAGCATGCACCTCTGCTTAAGCTCCCAATCCCAGGGGACAGAATAAACAGCAAGATTAAAAACCATGCATTTGTTTTCACACACCTCCAGGAAATTTCCCATTAAATAGTTGGCTGTAATCCATCCATATATCCCTTCCTCTTGCCCAGAAATGATTTGAGCATCCCTAAAATCAAAGGGCTGAGACTCGAAGTAGTTTTCAATGCTCTCAAGGACTTCATTAGCTGCTGTTTCGTTTTGCAACCTATTCAAGGCACAGAACACAAAAGGCTGAGTGCCCAGACAACAATCTTAAAATAACCTCCCCACTCCCTCAGGCAGGGACCATTTTCCAGATGTAGGTAAGACACAGGAACCCCCTCTGCAAATTGAAGCCTTCCAGGCAACCATGAAGGCAGGCTGCACTTGTTACCTGTCAAACTGCCAAGCAGGGGAATAGCTACCAGTAAAAATATCACTTGTTCTCTCCTCCCTTACCTGTTCCTATTCTGCTGTCTAGCAACCAGCTAAAGAGCCTCCTACTCAATCACTATTGCTCTGTCTCAGATCAGCAGAGAAAAGGAGGTTAGTGAAGGCATAAGGAGTAGCATAAGTATTCGCTTGGGGCACTATACAAAGAAACCCTCATCAGGCCAGAAGGAAGGGGAGCTTAGGAGGGAGGGGGAAAGGAAGAGGGGTTTTTCGCTGTCCCTGCTTTGCTCTTTGGGAGGGCTTTGGCGTGAGGGGATATGATGGCCATCACGGTTGTCACTGAATTGAAATCCTTTAGTGTGCTGACCCATGGAGGAGTGGTGACATAGCATTCGTATCAGCCATGACATAGTATATTTGTATCATTCATCTGTGCCATTTGATGGAAGAAAGCTCACTTGGGACATTCTTTTCCCTTTCATCAGTGGGTTAAGAAAGTCGGGGGGCACTGGCTCACTCTTGGCTGAGGAAGAAGAAAGAGCAATGCTACAAGCTGAAGTCCATTCCAGTTCAGTAGCAATTTATCACTGCTTGGAAAATAATGAATGATTTTCCTAGTTTTATTAGTTCCCATCCCAGAGACTCAAATTATTGTTTTTTCTATATTTGACTTTTCTAGCAATTAAAATATCAACTAGTTCCTCAGAAGAAATGGATCACCATCAGAGGTTGTGAAAGAGTTCACAAAGAAGTGTCAGTATATAATCTATTCAAATGTAACATTCACCTTCTCGCTAAGTGGCAAACTTTCTATTCCATGTTTTTTTCCATGGCTATAAATGACAGAGCCTTTGAATGATTTCTCACTGAGAGGACTGGGAGAAAAAAGCAACCAAGACAAAGTTGAGTTCTTTGCTTCCATTAGAAAGAAAAGGCAGAAGGAAGGGATTTCTATATCATTTCTATTTCAAGTAAACACAGCAATCTTGAAAACACACTGCAGAATCCAAGAGTAAGCAAAGAAATCTGACTTCCTTCCACATTCTACTTGATCAACCAGGACATAGGAATAGAAAAAAATGAGAGGAAAACTACAAGGAAAAGGCTCAATCCAACTGAAAGTGCTTCATGATCTTTTTGATGATCATCTGAAAGCGACTCTGTTCCTTTGAAGTTTCTGCATGTGGTGAAGAAAATACATATAATTTTACATCCCTAGGATCATAGACAAAGTGACTTTGCAACCAAATGAGTGTCATCTTTTGGGGAGAAAGCCTTATTTTCAAAGTTTAGGGCAACATCTGCCCTTTAATTTTGGTAGTTTTAAGCTTGATGGGTTTTTAAAAAACTGTTTTTTTTTTTTTTTTAATTTTAAGGTCAAGGAAATATCATGGAGAAAAAAAATGAGAAAGGACATTCAAAAACAATACAATGGGGCTAAAAGTCATGGCTGAAAATTTAGAAGGAACTGCTTAATTGAATGAAATGAGATGTTTATTTTTTATAGTAACCCCAAAGGCTTTGGGGCGAGGAGCAGAATTCCCATTATTTGAAAGCAGATATTTTGGTGACATTTTGTACATGGGTAGAAGCTAAATAGCTTAGGAGTATAGTGGCTTACATTTAGTGGCACTGGTTGTGCACAGGTATTAAAGTTGTTCTTTAGTCACTCAGTTGTGTTTGCTTCTTCTATGACCCGATGGACTGTAGCCTGCCATGCTCCTCTGTCCATGGAATTTCCGAGGCAAGGATACTGGAAGGGGTTTCTATGCCCTTCTCCAGGGGACCTTCCCAAATCAGGGACCAAACCTGAGTCTCCGGCGCTGGCAGGCCGGTTCTTTACCACTGAGCCACCAGGGAAACCCCAGTGTTAAAATACCAGAGGTCAAAAACAGTTTCTACTTTTTAAGAAAACTAGAGGTACATCCCATGACTAGATTTCATGTTACTTTCATTTTTTTTCAGAGTTCTCAATAAAATCACCATGGGGAAGGGAATCAAATATAGAACTGTTTCTTTCTGAGTATTAAGACTAAAAGTTTCCCAACTTTGAAAGCCTAAATTTATGGTAGAATATGGGCTTCTTTCCCAGAAATAGTTATATTCTTGGAAAGATTCGACACATTCCTGGCTGTGTTGGTCCAACGGGCTTCTCTGGGCCATTCGAGCTCTTACCTCAGTAATCGCATCCCAGCTGTGGCCCCCAGGTAAACACAGGTGGACCCTTGGAGATGGACTGGAATGTGCCCCTTGACTTTTTGCATGCAATCCTCAAAGGCTTTGGGGGCATCTTGGGGGTTTTCCGCATAGTTGGAGATCCCAGAGCCTGAAGAGCAAGCATTCATCACTTCTTAGCATTATCAGGAACCAACAAGAGCCATACAACTTTTAAATAAAAAAGCAAATCAGCTTTGTAAATTAATGGGTTTTTGTAGGGCATTGAAAACAGTGTATGTGCTAAGTTCCATGTGGCCACACAGATGAGTCAATTCTCAAAATATAGAAGGAGAGAATTAAAAAGGTGAAAAAAACTGAGCCGAGACCTGCTTTGAAAAAAGGTTCTCATTATGGAAATTACAAATATATATAAAAGTAGAGGAAGGCACAAAACGCAGGCGCAACCGAATCTGCGCTTTTGTGGAGTACCCGAAAACTGGAACCGCACTCAACGCAGGGCCCGCTCCATATAGAGCAGCCGGGAGCCTGAGCAGTGTAGACGGGGAAAGCACTGACACCCGTGAGCGGGGCAAACCCAGTGTGGCCGGAACACGGTGAGTGCTATCCACACAGAGCAGTATCTGTCTGCAGCGCCCCGCCCTCCCCGTAGCAGGACTGAACTGAACTAGAGAACCTAAATAAGAGATCACCTCCGCCCGCCTGTGTCAGGGTGGAAATTAGACACCAAAGAGATGGCAAACAGAAGCCAAATAAACAAAGGGAACCGCTTCAGAAAGGACCGGTGCAACAGATTAAAATCCCTGAAGGTAACACCGACGACACCGGAAGGGGCCTACAGATATCGAGAAGTGTAAGCTGGAAAGAGGAGCTATCTGAAATTGATCTGAACCTACGCTGACCGCAACAACTCCAGAGAAATTCCTAGATATATATATATATATATATTTTTTTTTTTTAATTAAAAATTTTTTTTTTCTTTTTTTTTATTTTTTATCTTTTATTTTCTTTTAAAATCCCCTATTACTCCCCCATTACTCCTCAACTTTCATTTTCATATATTTTTACGATTTTTTTAATTAGGGAAAAAAAATTTTTTTTTCTTTTTTTTCTTTTTCTTGTTTTTCTCTCCTATTTCCTTTTAAAGTCCTCTAATACGCCTCTATTATTCCTTAATTTTCATTTTCATTTCACTATAACCTTGCCAAAAAAAAAAAAGAGAGAGAGAAACCCTATTTTTAAATCGAACTTCATATACATTTCTAAATTTTTTTGTGTGTTTTTGTTTTTGTTTTTAAATATTGTATTTCAAAGAGTCTAACCTCTACACTAGACTTTTAATCTTTGTTTTTCAGTAGTATGTGATATAAATTTTGGTCATTTAAGAATCCAATATTCAGTTCCCATTTCTATTCAGGAGTGTGGTGATTACTCTCCCACTTTTGACTCTCTGTTTTCTACCTCAGAACACCTCTATTTCCTCCTTTCCCCTTCTCTTCCCAATCCAACTCTGTGAATCTTTGTGGGTGTCTGGGCTACGGAGAACACTTTGGGAACAGATAACTGCGTAGATCTGTCTCTCTCCTCTTGAGTCCCCTTTTTCTCCTCCTGCTCACCTCTATCTCCTTCCTCCCTCTCCTATTCTTCATGTAACTCTGTGAACCTCTCTGGTTGTCTCTCATGGTGGAGAATCTTTTCACCATTAACCTAGAAGTTTTATTATCAGTGCTGTATAGTTGGAGAAGTCTTGAGACTATTGAAAGAATAAAACTGAAATCCAGAGGCAGGAGACTTAAGCCCAAACCCTGAGAAAACCAGCAAACTCCTGACTACACAGAACATTAAGGAATAAGAGACCATCCAAAAACTTCCATACCTACATCAAAACCAACCACCACCCAAGAGCCAATAAGCTCCAGTACAAGACATACCATGCAAATTCTTTAGCAACGCAGGAACATAGACCTGAGTGTCAACATACAGGCTGTCCAAAGTCACACCTAACACATAGACCCATCGCAAAACTCATTACTGGACACTCCATTGCACTCCAGAGAGAAGAAATCCAATTCCACGCACCAGAACGCTAACACAAGCTTCCCTAACCAGGAAACCTTGACAAACCAATCGTCCAACCCCACCCACTGGGTGAAACCTCCACAATAAAAAGGAACCTCAGACCACAAGAATACAGAAAGCCCACTCCAGACACAGCAATCTAAACAAGATGAAAAGGCAGAGAAATACCCAACAGCTAAAGGAACATGAAAAAAGCCCACCAAGTCAAACAAAAGAGGAGGAAATAGGGAATCTACCTGAAAAAGAATTTAGAATAATGATAATAAAAATGATCCAAAATCTTGAAAACAAAATGGAGTTACAAATAAATAGCCTGGAGACAAAGATTGAGAAGATGCAAGAAATGTTTAACAAGGACCTAGAAGAAATAAAAAAAAGTCAATTAAAAATTAATAATGAAATAAATGAGATCAAAAACACTCTGGAGGGAACCATGAGTAGAATAACAGAGACAGAAGATAGGATAAGTGAGTTAGAAGATAAAATGGTGGAAATAAATGAAGCAGAGAGGAAAAAAGAAAAAAGAATCAAAAGAAATGAGGACAACCTCAGGGACCTCTGGGACAATGTGAAACGCCCCAACATTCGAATCATAGGAGTCCCAGAAGAAGAAGACAAAAAGAAAGACCATGAGAAGATACTCGAGGAGATAATAGCTGAAAACTTCCCTAAAATGGGGAAGGAAATAGCCACCCAAGTCCAAGAAACCCAGAGAGTCCCAAACATGATAAACCCAAGGCGAAACACCCCAAGACACATATTAATCAAATTAACAAAGATCAAACACAAAGAACAAATATTAAAAGCAGCAAGGGAGAAACAACAAATAACACACAAAGGGATTCCCATAAGGATAACAGCTGATCTATCAATAGAAACCCTTCAGGCCAGAAGGGAATGGCAGGACATACTTAAAGTAATGAAAGAGAATAACCTACAACCTAGATTACTCTACCCAGCAAGGATCTCATTCAGATATGAAGGAGAACTCAAAAGCTTTACAGACAAGCAAAAGCTGAGAGAATTCAGCACCACCAAACCAGCTCTTCAACAAATATTAAAGGATCTTCTCTAGACAGGAAACACAGAAAGGTGGTATAAACGTGAACCCCAAACAACAAAATAAATGGCAACGGGACCATACCTATCAATAATTACCTTAAATGTAAATGGGTTGAATGCCCCAACCAAAAGACAAAGGCTGGCTGAATGGATAAAAAAGCAAGACCCCTATATATGCTGTCTACAAGAGACCCACCTCAAAGCAAGGGACACATACAGACTAAAAGTGAAGGGCTGGAAAAAAATATTCCACGCAAACGGAGACCAAAAGAAAGCAGGAGTCGCAATACTCATATCAGATAAAATAGACTTTCAAATAAAGGCTGTGAAAAGAGACAAAGATGGACACTACATAATGATCAAAGGATCAATCCAAGAAGAAGATATAACAATTATAAATATATATGCACCCAACATAGGAGCACCGCAATATGTAAGGCAAACGCTAACGAGTATGAAAGAGGAAATTAATAGTAACACAATAATAGTAGGAGACTTTAATACCCCACTCACAACTATGGATAGATCAACTAAACAGAAAATGAACAAGGAAGCACAAACTTTAAAGGATACAATGGACCAGCTAGACCTAATTGACATCTATAGGACGTTTCACCCCAAAACAATCAACTTCACCTTTTTCTCAAGTGCACACGGAACCTTCTCCAGAATAGATCACATCCTGGGCCATAAATCTAGTCTTGGTAAATTCAAAAAGATTGAAATCATTCCAGTCATCTTTTCTGACCACAGTGCAGTAAGATTAGATCTCAATTACAGGAAAAAAATTATTAAAAATTCAAACATATGGAGGCTAAACAACACACTTCTGAATAACCAACAAATCATAGAAGAAATCAAAAAAGAAATCAAAATATGCATAGAAATGAATGAAAATGAAAACACAACAACCCAAAACCTATGGGACACTGTAAAAGCAGTGCTAAGGGGAAGATTCATAGCATTACAGGCCTACCTCAAGAAACAAGAACAAAGTCAAATAAATAACCTAACTCTACACCTAAAGCAACTAGAGGAGGAAGAAATGAAGAACCCCAGGGTTAGTAGAAGGAAAGAAATCTTAAAAATTAGGGCAGAAATAAATGCAAAAGAAACTAAAGAGATCATAGCAAAAATTAACGAAGCTAAAAGCTGGTTTTTTGAAAAAATAAACAAAATTGACAAACCATTAGCAAGACTCATTAAGAAACAAAGGGAGAAGAACCAAATTAACAAAATTAGAAACGAAAATGGAGAGATCACAACAGACAACACTGAAATACAAAGGATCATAAGAGACTACTACCAGCAGCTCTATGCCAATAAAATGGACAACTTGGAAGAAATGGACAAGTTCTTAGAGAAGTATAACTTTCCAAAACTGAACCAGGAAGAAATAGAAGATCTTAACAAAACCATCACAAGCAAGGAAATCAAAACTGTAATCAGAAATCTTCCAGCAAACAAAAGCCCAGGACCAGATGGCTTCACAGCTGAATTCTACCAAAAATTTAGATAAGAGCTAACACCTATCTTACTCAAACTCTTCCAGAAAATTGCAGAAGAAGGTAAACTTCCAAACTCGTTCTATGAGGCCACCATCACCCTAATTCCAAAACCAGACAAAGATGCCACAAAAAAAGAAAACTACAGGCCAATATCACTGATGAACATAGATGCAAAAATCCTTAACAAAATTCTAGCAAACAGAATCCAACAACATATTAAAAAAATCATACATCATGACCAAGTGGGCTTTATCCCAGGAATGCAAGGATTCTTTAATATCTGCAAATCAATCAATGTAATACACCACATTAACAAATTGAAAGATAAAAACCATATGATTATCTCAATAGATGCAGAAAAAGCCTTTGACAAAATTCAACATCCATTTATGATTAAAACTCTCCAGAAAGCAGGAATAGAAGGAACATACCTCAACATAATAAAAGCTATATATGACAAACCCACAGCAAGCATCACCCTCAATGGTGAAAAACTGAAAGC